TTTTTTTTTTTTTTTTTTTTTTGTTAACACCTTTTACACATCTAAATTTGTTGCTTTGTTCGGTCACCTTCTGTTTGCTCAAAGTTTTCTCGTTGTCAGTTTGTTGATATTTGTTGACTAAACTGCATTGTTTTTTGGTTCTCTTTGCTAATTAATTTAAACTTCTATTTTTAAGACAACTGCTGTCGCATCAGTTTTTCAACACTAATGCTTTAGAAACCATAGAAAGTTATTTCTCCGAGCTGTTAATCAGAATTTTTGGCTTCTTATTATTTCTGCCGTCACAGATTAGATTCATAAATTGTTCAACTAACTTTTGTTTGTTCATAGAACAAAGAAAAGTCAAAATATTTTTGAAAAATGACTACAATTTTACTAAACATCAGTGTGCCTAGCTTACGCTAATCAGCATAATTATCAGGCTTAACAAGCAAAATAGAACCTAAACAAGCATCAGTAACATCGACAAAAAATATATATATAAGACTTCAAAAACACATTAAATTTGACCATTTATAAGCTGCTTGTTTTTCCGGTCGGTAAACTTTTTTTTTTGCTCCCATATTGTCATCATAAACTACAAATGTATTACAGCATTTTAGAAACACTGTATTAAATCTTTAAAAAATAATTACAATCTATATTTACTAAAGAGAAAAAAGTTACATTTCTCTATATGTGCCAAAAATTACAGATCTTTCCAAGCTTTTTTTATTTTCTTTTGAACTTTTGAATATCAGATATTTGTTACGACTTAGTCATTTCCTATGTCGCTCAAGTACAGTGCACTACATTTGTACAAAAATTTTCTTCAACAGCGTAAATCAAACGGTAATTTTTAAGTGCCCTTAAGTTTGACACAAAATTGAGTCTAGATAACGAGCAATATATCGAGTGGTTTATGTGCAAAATGAAAACCATATTCCTTCTGCGATTAATGCAAAAAAATTTTAATCCTGATCAGTCCCCAAAATCTTTCTGTTAGTTTTAGAAAGATATCATTTACCGTAGTATGACGAATCCATCTCGTCGTCTCCACTGTTTATTTCGTTTCCAATCACTAACTTCTACAGCACATATGACTTTAAAAAGTATTCCGGTAAAAAAAAAATATGTACACCTAATCCAAACAAATAATAT